ATACCGGGTATAATAAGCTTATCCATTCAGTACTCCGTTATGGATAAATATTGCTCTCAGTAGAAGATTATCCATATCTGGTATAGCAGCAGCTTACACAGCAACTTGTAGCAGCTTACACAGCAGCTTGTACTAGCAACTTACACAGCAGCTTATAGTAGCTTACACTGCAGCTTGTAGTAGCAGCTTACACAGCAGCTTGTAGTAGCAGCTTACGGAGCAGCTTCCTTTCTTCTATAAATAGAAGAGATTTCAATTCATTATGTACATCAATTTGAATTTGAATAATATATCAGTTTCTCTCTATACTTGTCTTTACTTTGTAGTCTTTATTTCATAACAAGAACCAAATAAAAGTCGTCCTTTTCTCAAAATTTCCCGTCTCTTATTACTAATAAAGCTGTTTTCTTTTTCTTTCTTAAATTTATTCCAAACAGAGGAAAATATACTACACTACTAATAAGAAATAAAATAAAAACCAACCCCGTCTGTATTTTACTTTTTCGATTTCCCTCTTCGTTCCACCAATTTCTCTCTGAATTTCCATGACTTTGGCTTCTTAGGGTTTTTGCTATTTCCTCATCAAAGGTAACTTTCTCCCTAATTACAATTTTACTATGTCTTTTATAAAACCCATTTTGGAGTTATAACAAGTAATTGTGGAATTGGGTATTCTTTGTTTCGTTAAATTAATCAGTTTTGTAGGTTTTATTTCCTAATTCGAACTTGGGTTTTTTTATTCTTGGTTTTTTTTTATCTGGGTACTTTTTAAATTTTATATTTGATTTAGGCTTTTGTATTTAGTGAAGAAATTGGATGTTCTATGGACCCTTTGGGCTGCATGGGATATATTTCTGCTTAGTTGTTGAAGTGGTGATTTTATTTGTTATACATGTAATTGCTTCAACTGTGTTGCTGTTTAAACATTTAATTTTCGTGTTTTCTGCTGCAAAAAAAAACAGCATACACCAATTAAGTTAGGCCCTGCTTCGTGATGATGTGAAATGTTTTTTTTTGATAACCGTGATATCCACGCCAACTTGCATGCACCTCGACTAATTCCACGGGATACCTGCTACCTCCCACTACGGGTAAGACTTGGATAGATAATAAGAAATCACCTAATGTATTTGCCTCTGTTGGGATTTGAATCTGAGACCTCATGGTTCTCAACCCACTTCATTGACTACTAGGCCACACCCTTAGGTGCGATGTTGTGGAATGTTTTACCTAAGAAAAAGGCTTTTTTATGATAGTTTCCGACAATTGATTGGATATAAAGCTGAGGAAAATATGGTAAAAACTAGTTACTAGGTTTTTATTATTATATATATGCCATTGAATCTCCTTGGGATGGAGAAATACTTCTAGTAAAGTGGCGAAAGGGAGTTCAAAAATTGCTTTTGGTCATAGGTTCAAATCCCTGGAGTGACATTTTTGAATCCCCTTGTACAAAATTATGGTTTTGCTACTGGGTGGAGTGGGACATAGAATGTGGTGTTTGGGGATAATCAGAAGTGGAAATAATGTTTAGATGCTGGTAAGAGCTAGTAATATGGGAATAACTGTAATATGCAAATAACTTGGAGCTTTTAGGTTCAAATTCCAGCTGCAGCATCCCGTTTGTCTGATGCATGTGCTGTGGGCTATGGTAGGCTGCGTTGTGGATTAGTTGAGGTGCACACAAGTTGGTCTGATCACAACTCTCACCAGGTTTTGTTTACTGCTCTTTGAGTTTTATGCTTGTTTGTCACACGAGCTCCTTCTTGCTCGTCCTTTTGTTGCGATCATATGACCTCAATGAGTTATTTTTAAATTGCATTTGTGTCCGTTTTGCAGAGACAATGAGTGGGGTGTCTCTAGGTGAGTCTCATGGTAGACCCATTACTGGGAGCACGTTGAGGAGGTGCAATGATCGTGCAGGAGCTGATCATGTTGTTCTGATTGATGTCGATAGTGATACTTTTAGTAATGTTATTTTTATTGATGTGCCTGAATCCACACCCAAAAAGTTTCAATGTAAGACTTCAGCAAAGAAAGACAAAAGAAGATCTCCTTTGAAGAACATAATCTTCATCGATGATGACGAAAGCAGTGAGAATGAATATCCTGAATTTGGTGTAGAAAATGCCTTCCACTTCTTTCATGACCCTTCCCCTAGCATGAGAGCGTGCTCAACCTCGAAAAGTGCTAAAGAACCTCCAAATGAAATTGGTGATGATTGTCAGTTTGTTCGAGAAAAAATACCTCCAGTGAAGTTATCAAAATGCAAAAGAACTTACTCCGGAAAAGCTCCTGTCCAAAATCGCTATGGTTTGACATCTGATTCAGAGAGTAGTTCATCCGAAAATGATGAGTTCATGGAGGATTATTCTGGACAGCTTCGAGAGCAGTGGCAGAAAGCTTCGTTAAAGAGGAAAAAGTATAGCAGTGGTCAATCTGGTGTTAGGGATATCAATAGTGCATCCGGTGTTCGAATTCAACCTGACCCTGGCGAGAGTGAAGAGCATACATCCTGTTCTGATTACTCTAATTCCTCTACTGACAAAGAAGATCTATCTCCTAACTCAACACGCGAATCACGTCGTACTTCTGGTATGGCTGATGTCCATGACGAAGGAGATCCACGAAAGGAGAACTTTGAAGAGGGTTATCCCAGTATACCCCCTCAATATCGGCAGAATCCTTTTGAAAAGAAGCACCCGGAGCAAGGCAATGAAGGGAGTATTCCAGCTCCAGGACCTTGTTTGGAAAAACCTGTTTCATGTGGTGACAGGAACTTCTCTTGTAGACAATATAGGGTAGCAGAGGAGGAACCTTTTCTTGGAAAGCATCAGTGTGCTGTTGAAACTGAAAATGGTAGGAGACAATATATTTTTACTGATAATGGTAAAAAGTGTCAGGAGACGGCTAAGAATTATAATTTTCATTTCTCAAAAGAATTAAGACATGAAACCAGTAGGGTCAGTTTCAATGAGAAGGAGGATTTATTTTCTGGAGGATTTCCAAGGACTACCCGATCATCTGTTGTATACTATCCTGAACACAACTATTCTAATGGCAGCAGAGTTAATCCTAGAGAGTCTTCTATTTGCACGAGAGCTTCATCATGCTCAGGAATCAGCGGCAAAAAATGTGTCGATCAGGAAAATGGGAAATGGATTCCTGATAGGACATCAGAATTAGATGCACACAATAATGAAACACAACCTAGTAACAGAGGTTCCTTGCTGGAGGAGGGTCTTTCTGAATCTTTATCTACGAGCCAACACAAGGATGAAAGGCATGATGACGTGAATGTCCAAGATGGTGAGAATGTGGAAGGTTGTGTTGAGAACTGTATTACCACCGAAAGAGAAAGGATGAAGGAGACTTCCGAATACAAAAAGGCACTGGAGGAAGAACTTGCGTCCAGGCAAAGAGCGTTAGCGATTCAGGTCTGTCATGTTTACTGCCTCCTGCTAGTTTTTGTAGAGATGTGGTTTTCTGTTATGCATTCGGTGTTCATTATTCTGTAACCTGTTGATCTTTTGACTGCTGTATTCTTATGAAAGTTATCAAGGTATTGGTGAAATCGAGGTCTGCTCCAATAATTTGATCTCATGAATGCCATAATTGATCAAATGTTCTCTACTTTTGATCTTAATGTGCTTCTTTGTAGCCTATTTGCTCCATGCGCGTGAACGAAAATATTACAGCCAAGTTGTATAGAGTAAGAGTATGTAAGAGATTAACTGCCGGTATTGTGTTTGTAATAGTTAGAAACTTGAAGTAGTCAGTTGATGTAGAAAACTAGAAATATATACATGCCGCGGAGTGTGTGAAAATTTCCCCCTTTATATTCATCACAAAAGAGAAGAAAAATCTTCCTCTATATCTTGTAGAAGTTGGATCTCCAAATTCGAGAGTAGTCAAAAGCGAAATATTTTGGGGATTTTTAAGTGCAAAGCGGAATTAAAGGGTGAGCTTCACAAAGAAAGGCACTGATGAAGAAATATAAACGATATATTTTTTTTCTGAGAAAAAGGCAAACAATAACTAGTTGAACAAAAGAACAGATACGCTAAACTGAAATATATGAAGTACAATCATGTCAATCAAGTTTAAAATCCGTTTCAAATTTCTTGATTTAGAAAAGATGTAGCTTTATGTATTTTGGTGCTAGTTTTCTCTTATTAAAATTTTAATCTCTTATTCCTAGTCACTAACAATTAATACTTTTTTTACAATTAATGTATCCTTTTGCTAACTCTATCTTTTGATTAGTATTGCCCTCTTAAAGATAGAGTTGAAGGGCATTGAGACGCATGCCTTAGTACTTTAGTGCGTACACTTAAGCGTCACCTAAGTGAGGTGAAGCGCACAACCTGGAATTAACTGAGTTTCAGGGCTTAAGGGTGCTAAAATGAGCCTTTGACAACACTAACCAATCCAATACTGTACGCTTTACACACTACGTTGGGACTTTAAAGTACGGACATGTCTTTTTGTTCCACATATGGTTTGTTTAGTTGTGTATGCCATATTGAAGAAGTATTGACGGGGTAGTCCGTCTGACTACTTTAACAAATGTTACTTAGCAAAATGGAGATATATACTGTTTGTCTGTTATGCTGCTCACACACTTTTGATGCTTGTGTTTCAGAAATGGACACTGCTTTTCTAATGAATCTTTTCTGGTCCTATTCTCACTTAAAATGGGTTTAAACTTTAGAGTCATTTGTATGCTTTTAATCTATCTTTTACTGCACCAAAGCCTTTTTGAGATGTGAATATTGAATCTGATACGACTTAAGAAGTAATACCACATAAATGTGTTGTAGTTCGGGTAAGTTGTAGGTCTACCAATACCTTATGCCCAAACTAATACCAACCACCAGGAGCCACTTACCAATACCCTATGCCCAAACCTCACAAACTCCCCTTGACTTGCCACTTACCTGGTCTACAACACACAACCTGCACCCCATCAACCCGTGTAACCACACACAGCCCTCCACTCCCATCAACTGCGGTAACCACAAAATGCACACTACTGTTGATACTTTTAAGATCGAAAAATATATACAGCACATTAGACGGAAATATCAAGGAAAAACATTAGTGTTCTGGCTGTAATATCAAGCCAAGGTGCTGGGTGAAGATCAAAGAAAAGAAAAATGTATTTATATTCTGCTTCATCCTGTCAGTGACGCGGGGTTTGGGGTGGGGGGGTTGGGGTGGTGTTTAGAGTTTGATTCCTCTTCTTAAGGTCAACAAAACCTTCCTTTTTGCCTTCCCTGGCCAATTTCTTTCCCTAGGGGAATTGGTCTAGTCAAACTAAGCGTTTCTTTTTCAAAGGATAGTCTTGATGCCGTCATAGCCGGGGGTTTGAGTATGCAGCCAGAAGGCAACGGTTTCCAGCAGTCCCCCTTCTCAGCCTTTCATGCTCATACAACACCCGGTATAACTACGCCTCAATCCCAAACAAGTTGGTGTTCTGGTATATGAATCCTCACTAACTATGTTGTTCTATATAAACTCATTCCAGGCCAGTATTATACAAAAGGGCACCCGATGCACGAAGCTCCTGCCATGCGCGGGATCCGGGGAAAAGCTGGACTACAAGGGTCTATTATACGCAGCCTTACCCTGCATTTCTACAAGAGACTGTTTACACGGCTTGAACCCGTGACCTCCTGGTTACATGGCAACAACTTTACTAGTTGCACCAAGGCTCCAGGCCAGTATCGTACAAAATAAAAATAATAGTAAAATAATAATAGATTTCTTTATATGATAACCCATTCTGGTTATTTATATAAAAAATATTTTGGATGTAGAAGTGAAACATCATGTGGGTCATGTGATAATAAGTTATTTTCATGTCATATTGCCGTTCTTGTCTTTCATGATGTAATAATATCAGGGGATCCTTACAGTATGATTTTTGGTTTGTAATTGGCGAGATTGCTAGTTTGATGGTTTTCTAAACCATAAACTTTGATTAAGATTGAAGTTATAGAATTCCTGATAAAAAAGTGAAAACCACAGAGAAAAGCAAAATTAGCCAAAAGACAATAAGACTTGTGTATGTATGCACAGATGTATTGTTATCTGATGTGTTTTTTACCTATTCAGGCAGAAGAAGCCAAAAAGTTGAAGCTGTTGCTCAAAAGAAAGAAGGCTGAAAGTATGCGTCTACTAGAAATGGAGAAGAGACAAAAGCAGCGTGTGGAGGAAATAAGAGAAACTCAAAAAAAGGTATCACAACTTGGCCTCTTCTGCTGTCTATTGCGTGGTGTTGCACAGTCTTTATATTATATTTGTTTATGTCTCTTTCATGCAACTTATGCTGCCTCTGTGTTGTTTTGTGACTATGGCATACTTGGATTTTCCTAGTATATAATCCATCTGATGAATTTTGTTAGGACGTAGAGAATATGAACTTGAAGGAGCTAGTACGAGCCGAAGTTCGAAAGGAACTTAGGAAGCTCGAAATGACATGCCATGATATGGCTTCGATGTTGCGCGGATTGGGAATCACTGTCGGCGGTGGCACTAGTCATGAGGTTTGTTTACACTCATTGTCTTACAGGGAACATATCTTTTAAGAAAGATTGGCATTCTTATTTTGCTATTATCCTGATTTGCGGTTGATGAGCTTTCTTGTTCTTACCAATTATATGATCTTTTTAGTTGAAACAAAAATGAAAGTCCATTAGCAACTTAGAAAATCTGATTGCATTAAGTTGTGCAGATAACTGAGTTAATTAGCATGATGCAAACTGCAAAGTTCTCTTTTCAGTAACTGTTAAGTAATCTACTATGTAAGTCGATGCACTTCTCTGCAGTTATATTGAAACAGTATGTGTATTCAGGGCTTGCGAGCTATTTCATATCTGTGCATCAGATCAGCTGTCATTCCTTTCCAGTGTTGGTTTCGTGTTCTGATCTATCTACCCATTTTATCTTTCTCCCTATATCGCGTTGGCTGTTGTAAATTTAGACTTGCCTCTCCACTCTGTGCTCATATTCAACGTGTTGCTTATTAGGATTAACTAGCTCTTGTAACATGGCTGTTTCTCATTTCTTGTGTTTTTACCTGTGGTTTTCAGGGTTGTATTTGTATTCATGTTACAATGTACTTCTTGTGGTCGTTTCTTTCTTCTATTTTGGTTTCTGTAGTGTTGCAATGTTAGTCCCAGTAATAAAATGAGAGAGATCACTTAGGACAAATGTTTGTTTTCAGGTGCGCGTTGCTTACAAGAAAGCGTTGCTGACATTTCACCCAGATAGAGCTTCAAAATCTGATATACGACAACAAGTTGAAGCTGAGGAGAAATTTAAGCTTATTTCTCGAATGAAGGACAAGTATTTACCAACTTTATAGGAATGAACATAGGAGATAAAAGTAGTATATTTCCAGTCAAAAGATTTATTTTTAGGATGGAAATTTTGTGAATAGGCCTTCAATGCTTTAAATTTTTCTCACCATGTGGAAAGCTGCACTCAACTGCAGAAAGGTTTTCTCATTTCCAGGTATAGTTTTGTCATTTCTTTATTGTCTTTGTTAATACAATTGTACTTTTTCAGGGTTGAGGTGGCTTTCAGGAATTGCTTTACAAAAGCTATAAAATTAAAGAATCTCTCAATTGTCACTGAATATGTGATGGAGTAACTATAACACCACTCCACAAGCAATAAGCTGCAATGCACAGGCTGATTAACAGTATTATTTTAATAAGTTAAATCTTCCTTTTCTCTCTCTTTTGGTATCTAAGTTGATTTTAAGGTCAAGTTGAGCAATTATGAGTGTTGGTCAACTTAGAATTTTGTAAACACAGCAAGTACTTATTGGAATAGGATAAAAATGGAGTATTAGGAATTAGATTTTGTCGGAAGGCACCAAAGGATGCGGCCAGGTAGTCAATGAAGAGGTGTAAACTTTTGAGACGAGGTTCAAATCCTAGAGGAGACAAAAACAATAGGTGATCTTTCTTTCATATACCTAAGTGTTGGTATATAAAGTTACTCGGTACCTATGTTTTCCTTGTTTTGAGGAAGGCTCGGTTTAACGAGAATCATCTCGTTGGCTTTTAGAGTCATCTCAGGGATCTTTGGCTTATGCCATGTGCTCCAAACTTGAACTCAACTTCCTGTTTTCATCAACATTTGCTTATCACTCGAGAAACTAGTGAATGCTTGTGCTTGTGGGAGACAGTAGTAAAATAGTAAAGATGTGCATAAGCTGGCCTTGAATAACTGTTAATAAAAAGTCGGATTTTGTCTGGTGGAGGTAAGGAACTAACTTTTAAGTTTTATCCGGACCTAGCTCACTTCGGAGAGTTGACAAGCTTTTTACCTTGCCAATTTAGGTCGGTTGACCACCTTTTGCTGAGAAATTATAGTAAGCACATATATAGTTTAAAATTACTTTTTGACATATATTAAATTTTGAACCTCCTTGGTGAAATTACATTGTCCCGGCCATTGTGAATTGATAGGAGAATCACACTATAGCTTAGTAAGTGCTAGTTGTTTCGTTCTGGATATACCTATTTTTTCATAATAAGCAATAAATATTGGTATTGCAATTAATACTGTGGGATTGCACGGTTTAGAATTCATGGAACTAAATTTTAATACTGTGGGATTGCACGTTTAGAATTCATGGAACTAAATTTTAATACTGTGGGATTGCACGTTTAGAATTCATGGAACTAAATTTTAATACGATGGGATTGCACGTTTAGAATTCATGGAACTAACTGTAAACTACGGCAAAGACGGTGCTAGAGTTCTTGCTACGTGTTCATCATAATTTAGTAGCTTTGGTCAAAACTTTATACAATGATAATGACTCAATAAAATCCTACTAGTGAAATCTGGAAAGGGTAGTGCGTATGCAGATCTTACCCCTACCCCGAGGAGTAGAGAGGCCATTTCCGAAAGACCCTTGGCTCAAGAAGACGAAAAAAAGAGACAATATCAGTACTACCAACAAATACCATAAGAAAAAATAACATCATGAAAGCCAGAAAATAGGTGCAAAAGCAAAAACGCTAGCTAGTAAATAGACTCGGCTCTATGAAAAACGAAAGAGTAGTAAAACACAACATTGCAACTAGCTGTCTCAGACAAAAACCCTACCAAAGTAGCCTCACAAAGGTACGAACTAAGGAAAGACTCAACTACCTCCTAACGTACAACCCTAATACTCTACCTCAACAGCTTTTTATCAAGGGCCATGTCCTCGGAAATCTGAAGCCTCGCCATGTCCTGCCTGATCACCTCTCCGCAATACTTCTTAGGCCGCCCTCTACCTCTTCTCGAACCCTCCAAAGCCAGCTGCTCACACCTTCTTACCGGAGTATCTGGGCTTCTCCTCTGAACGTGCCCGAACCATCTGAGCCTCGCTTCCCGCATCTTGTTATCAATGGGAGCCACGCCCACCTTCTCCCGAATATCATCATTCCTAATCTTATCCATCCTAGTGTGCCCACACATCCACCTCAACATCCTCATCTCTGCTACTTTCATCTTCTGAATATGTGAGTTCTTAACAGGCCAACACTCAGCCCCATACATCATGGCCGGTCTAACCACCGCTTTATATAACTTATCTTTGAGTATCGGTGGCACTCTCTTGTCACACAGGACTCCAAATACTAACCTTCACTTCATCCACCCCACTCCAATACGGTGTGTGACATCCTCGTCGATCTCCCCTCCCCCTTGGATAACCGACCCAAGGTACTTAAAACTGCCTCTACTTGGGATGACCTGTGATTCAAGCCTCACATACACGTCCACTTCCCTCGACTCAGCGCTGAACTTACACTCGAGGTATTCCATCTTCGTCTTGCTCAGCTTGAAACCCTTAGACTCAAGAGCCTGTCTCTAAACCTCCAGCCTCTCGTTAACATCGGTCCGCGACTCATCAATTAGAACTATGTCATCAGCGAAAAACATACACCATGGCACCTCTCCTTGAATATGGTGTGTTAATGCGTCCATCACCAGGGAAAATAAGAACGGTCTAAGCGCAGAACCTTGGTGCAACCCCATAACAACCGGGAAATGCTCAGAGTCTCCTCCTACTATCCTACCCTGAGTCTTAGCCCCATCATATATGTCCTTAATTGCCATAATGTAGGCAACCGACACACCTTTAGCCTCTAGACATCTCCAGAGCGCTTCTCTAGGAACCTTGTCATACTCTTTCTCCAGATCAATAAACACCATGTGCTAATCTTTCTTCCTCTCCCTGTATTGTTCCACCAGTCTCCTAATAAGGTGTATAGCTTCTGTAGTAGAACGACCTGGCATAAACCCAAATTAGTTGTCGGATATAGACACTGTCCTCCCCACCCTCACTTCAATCATCCTCTCCCAAACTTTCATGGTATGACTCAATAATTTGATACCCCTATAATTGTTACAACTCTGGATATCCCTTTTGGTCAAAACTTTATATTTGTGTTAAAAAAAACACGGATTATGCATGAATAATTTATTCAAAATTCAATGAACAACTTCTTTTAGAATCCAAAATCTATAAACTTAAATTTTGGATTTGCCTTTGCATCTAGTTAAGGCAAATGGGGAGAGACCTAATGCTCGAGAAAAATAGCACATAATAAATAATAGGGGAATTTTCAGAAATGACTATTGTTTGGAGACCTGTTGGGCATAACTATAATTTAGCTAATTACATTCTGTAGCTACTAATTGCTTGCCATTGGATGTATGTTGTTGTATTCAATTCGGATGTATTCGTTCTTATATTTTTTACAATTTATTCAATTTCACCGTGTTGAATTCAATTATATGTATTCAATTCGGGCTATATTCATTCTTAACTATTTTACATTGTATTCAATTTCACTGTATTCAATTTGACTGTAGTCAAAACGCAAAAAATCACAAAAACAATGATATTCGGATGTATTCAATTTACTGTATTCATTCGTAGCTGCTTTATACTATATTCAATTATTGTATTCAATTTAGTTGTATTCAAACAATGTATTGAAAAATACAGAATACAAAGTATTTGCATCATTGTATGCGACTCAATAGCAAAAAAGAGAAGAAAGTTCACTGAAAATGATGTCTTCTGGCCAAGAAAAATATTGTATACATTGTATTAAAACTAAAAATGGAGACGAATAAAACTCCAGCCAAATCTAAGAATATACTATCACATCCGAAACTTCTTTAGCGGGTAATAATCAAACATCTCCAACCAAACAGAACAGGTGGTGTAAATAGGGAGCCACAAAAAAATTATGCTACAAGTTGCTGAATTCACTTCATTCACCGAGATTAGTGTGCCATCAAAACCTAAGCTTCAAATACCGATGAGATGGCTTCCATCTACTAATCACTACAAGCTAAATATTGATGGAGCTTATGACAAAAACAATCAAACAAGTGGCACTGCTGGAATCATCAGAGACCACCATGGCAATTGGATAACGGGTTTTGCGCAGAAGGCAGCTGCAACATCCGCTCCCATGCTGAAATACTGACACTAATTGCAGGACTAGAGTTCTCCTTCACAAAAAATCTCTTTCCCACCTTAGTGGAAAAAGATTCACAGGTATTATGTAACTTATTTAGAGACGAACAACAACGCAACTCACATCTTTTTCATGATTGCAGTTTTCTTTTTGATGCTGTTGGAGTGGAAAAAATAACCCACATATATCGGGAAGGCAACTCTGTAGCTGACGCTCTGGCAAAGTATGGAAGTACCAAGCAACAAACAACAACGGAGGGAGAAAACACTCCAGACTTTATATTACAAGTTTTAATAAAGACAAATTGGAAAAAAATTGCAATACAATATATTCCTATGTTGTGTAATAACTAAACCCCTATGTTTTTAATATAAAGTATCTCCTTTCGTTAGCAAAAAAAAAAAGAGTTTTTGAGTGGCAGAAGTTGCAACCTTCTTTTATTTCTCCTGGATGGTTGCTGGCGGAGGGAGACACACTTGTGGAGCCACTTATTTATAGCAAACACATATGTCTTCTGAGCAACAATCCACTTTGTAAAATTTGAAGATAGAGAACTCAACTGATTTTGAAGATGGATAGCAATCTGCCGACGAGTCGGTGGTTCTCCAGCGAGATTGTAATACCAGAGAGATAGAGAGTTTAACCCCTTGTTTGGATTGTTGTTACATATCGTTTCATAATATATCGTACTGTATTGTATTGTATTGTTTGATAAATACAATGTTTGAATAAATTATATCACTTGTCATCGTTTCATGATGTCATGCACCAACAATATGAAGAATAAACTTGCAACATTACAAAGAAAAAATAGAATACGAAGTAAAATTATTATATAAAAAGTAGGGTAAAGAATAAAATATCATTATTTAATAATAAAGAAGGGCAAGATGAGATTTAGAAAAAAGGTAACAACGTCACCACACCATATCCGTCGTTCGATAAAGTGACACTGTTCGTCGTTACGTACAACGAATTTAACGATACGATACGATAAAATTTAAGTAACAATCAAAACAAACATTATATTTAAAGTAACAATACGATACAATACAACAGGTAACATCCATCC